CTAGAACATAGTTTATGATTCATATTTGTTCGTAGTAATTTTTTGTGAACAACTGAGTTAGTTTTGATTTTTGTTAACATAATTCTTGCATTACTTCAAAAAAAAAAAAAAATTGGTTGGTCTAAGATTTTAACACTACTTAACTTCTTTCATTCTTTATGTAGTCATTTCAATGGTTGGAGCAGCAATTTTATGTGCATTTCTGATTTTCTGGTTTAGAAAGAAAACCTCAACATACAAATCGATATTCTTTTGGAGGAAATCAACGATGGCAGATGATCACGTGGAAGCTTTCTTGAAAATTAATGGATCCCTTTTGCCACAAAGATATAGTTACTCTAGAATAAAGAAAGTAACAAATTCTTTCCAATATAAACTCAGGAAAGGCGGCTATCATGATGTGTACAAAGGCAAGCTTCTTGATGGATGTCTGGTGGCTGTCAAGCTTCTAAATGAAACAAAAGACAGTAATGGAGAAGAGTTCATAAATGAGGTCGCAAGCATTAGTAGGACTTCCCATGTCAACATTGTAAACCTTGTAGGCTATTGTTTCGAGGGTCGCAAAAGAGCTCTTATCTACGAGTACATGCCAAATGGATCTCTTGAGAAGGTCATACACAACAACAAATCACAAGAGACAAATGACCACTTGGAATGGAAAACAATGCACAAAATTGCATTAGGGGTTGCTCGGGGATTGGAATACTTGCATCGTGGATGTACAACGTGCATTTTCCATTTTGACAAAAAACCACATAACATTCTTCTAGACGAAGATTTTTGTCCAAAGATTTCTGATTTTGGGCTTGCTAAATTATGTCCCAAGAAAGAGAGCATTGTATCCATGTTGCATGCTCGAGGAACTATTGGATATATAGCGCCTGAAGTCTTCTCTAGGCATTTTGGAAGAGTCTCACACAAGGCTGATGTGTATAGCTATGGAATGCTAGTCCTAGAGATGGTTTGGGGAAGGGAAAACATTGGACAATCAGTTGAGGACACTGGCGACTTATATTTCCCACATTCGATCTACATTATAGCGACCCCGGTCTTTTCCCATTTGATTATTGTATCCGGACTTAGGTTCCGTATATTCTACCATTGTATAATTGTTGTTGTCGTCCTTTATTTTCTCATTTGGAGTTATAGGATGTGTTGGGCAGGTTTGTTTCAGGTTGGTTGGATTCGTAAACCAAGTGTTGCTGTCCAGTTTTTGGGTTGTTCGCTCGAGCCAGGGATTGGTCGCTCGAGCGAGGGTTGTATTTTGTGTCTTCTGGCTCGATCCAGCTTTGCTTCGCTCGAGCGAGCGACTGCGTCTGGTATAGACCTGAGGGTAGTGCTTATTCGCTCGAGCAAGATTTTCTTCGCTCGAGCGAGCGAGGTGTATGTTTTTGAGTTCCTTGCTCGAGTAAGCATTCTGTCGCTCGAGCGTGCTCCAGGGTTGCAGACCTGAAGCATTGCATTCTTGGCTCGAGCGAGCTTTTCTTCGCTCGAGTGAGGTTTTCGTGTGTCTGGTAGCTCGAGCGACCAAGTCTTCGCTCGAGCGAGCCTGTCAAGTTTAAATAGGCCGCAGCGTGTTTCAGATCAGTTTTTCATACACTTTCATATTCCAAAACCCTAGTTACGAGTTCTCTCTCCCTCTACACACCTTCTCTCTTAGGATTGATCTACTTAGAGTGAGTTTCTACCTTAGATCCTTTATTAAAAAGATAGAGTGAGTCGAGGGCTTCCATTTAATCTGAACATTTAGTGATTTGGAGCACATTGGAATTTGGGTATTCATCTCTGTCTTCTCCATTCGGGTTATCTTCTTCGAGGTAGGGATTTCCTACTCACCATGATTGAAATGAAAAAAATTCCAAAAACAAATAAAAGAGGAAAAAATGTACTATTTAATTATTTATTTTTTTAGATTGGGGGAAAATGTGTTATTAAAGGACTAAAATGCCATTTTACTCCCGAAAGTGATAAAGAGTACGAAAAAAGATTCATGTAAATGGAAGATTAAAAAGAGAAAAAACAAAAGCGACAAACATCAAACTTGTACGGTTTAATTTAGCCTTCTAACAAGCTTAGAAAATGTTCTATTACCGAAACTGGGCTGCAGTTATTCATTTAATATGGGCATTGTTGCTTCAAAATTATGTCTCTTTAGACTAGTGTTTTTATTATTGATTTGCGTAGGAATTTACAAAGGAAAAGAAAAAAAGTAGTGAAATATAAATGAAATACATGTACATTTCACACACCTTTTTTCTTTTCCTTTCTAAATTCCTATCTAAACACGGCCTTAGTTAATGGTGTGTTGTTATGTTTTGCAGATGGAAAGAAACAATTGACCTTGAAAGTTGCCATAGGTATTGTACTGAAATTTTATTCCATGTCTTTCCTTAATTTAGTAATGCATAAAAACTTTAATCATTTTGTTTTCTTTGTTCAAGGTTTGATCAATTTCATTATAACTAGAACATAGTTTATGATTCATATTTGTTCGTAGTAATTTTTTGTGAACAACTGAGTTAGTTTTGATTTTTGTTAACATAATTTTTGCATTACTTCAAAAAAAAAAAAAAAAATTGGTTGGTCTAAGATTTTAACACTACTTGACTTCTTTCATTCTTTATGTAGTCATTTCAATGGTTGGAGCAACAATTTTGTGTGCATTTCTGATTTCTGCTTTAGAAAGAAAACCTCAACATACAAATCGATATTCTTTTGGAGGAAATCAACGATGGCAGATGATCCTATGGAAGCTTTCTTGAAAATTAATGGATCCCTTTTGCCACAAAGATATAGTTACTCAAGAATAAAGAAAGTAACAAATTCTTTCCAAGATAAACTCGGGAAAGGCGGCTATGGTGATGTGTACAAAGGCAAGCTTCTTGATGGATGTCTGGTGGCTGTCAAGCTTCTAAATGAAATAAAAGACAGTAATGGACAAGAGTTCATAAATGAGGTCACAAGCATTAGTAGGACTTTCCATGTCAACATTGTAAGCCTTGTAGGGTATTGTTTCAAGGGTTGCAAAAAAGCTCTTATCTACGAATACATGCCAAATGGATCTCTTGAGAAGGTCATACACAACAACAAATCACAGGAGACAAATGACCACTTGGAATGGAAAAAAATGCACAAAATTGCATTAGGGATTGCTCGGGGATTGGAATACTTGCATCGTGGATGTACATCATGCATTTTCCATTTTGACATAAAACCACATAACATTCATCTAGACGAAGATTTTTGTCCAAAGATTTTTGATTTTGGGCTTGCTAAATTATGTCCTGAGAAAGAGAGCATTGTATCCATGTTGCATGCTCGAGGAACTATTGGATATATAGCGCCTGAAGTCTTCTCTAGGCATTTTGGAAGAGCCTCACAGAAGGCTGATGTGTATAGCTATGGAATGCTAGTTCTACAGATTGTTTGGGGAAGGGAAAACATTGGACAATCAGTTGAGGACACTGGCGACTTATATTTCCCACATTCGATCTACAAGAAGCTAAAATGTGATGGAGATATAGGACTTCATGGGATTGAATCTGAAGAGGATGAAAAAGTTGCATGAAAGATGATATTAGTTGAGCTATGTTGCATACAAGCTAATCCATTAGAGAGACCAACAATTAACAAAGTGATTGAGATGCTTGAAGGAAATCTAGGATCTTTGCAAGTTCCCCCGGAACCATTCTTGTATTTACCTTCAAGAACACCAATCCCATCTTGTATTATTCAAATATCAGAAGAGAATGAATCCTGTGGGGTTGAATCAATGTAATGATGTTTTTTTAGGTTAAAAACATCATGGACTGCAAAGCTTATGTAGAATAATATCATGCAAAGTAGATTCCTCAAGACCCTCAAAGTGGTGAAATTTTGTTTGAAATTGCTACGTTAATTGCTGTCCAAGTATATCTTGGATTCTTCACTATGAATTGCTGCACTAAATTTTTTCTAGTAAAAACAGACCAAGATGTCTGCTGTGGTTGTAAATTTCCTTTTCTTTTTCTTGTTACTCTTTTTTTCTTCTATTACACAAAAGTTGCAATAAATCAGTTTGAACAGAAATTAGAATTCTTTCCATGAAGAAAACTTCGAATTCTTCTATTATAAGGTATGGGGAACGCTAATGGACTGTGAGATTGGTCTGCTGATTAGTTGGTCTAATGGACCGGATATCGAGTTATGAAAAATAAAATAAAAAAGACATGGGAAATTTTTTTCTGCTATCATGAATTCAGGAATGAACAAAAATTAGTCTAATCTCATCATCCCATAGTCTACAGAAATTAGACTAATATCTCTGCCACATTGATATGATTCTTCCCTTTCTATGCATAACATAGTGAGCCCAAAATAATATCTCTCTTTTTTTCTTTTTCTGTTAAAGGAGTAAGATCCAAGATCCTATGATATTATCATCAGCAATGTAAGTGTGGCGTCGAAAAATCTAGGAAAAAGATAATAATAACGAGAATAAAGCCTTAACTTCACATGCAACCTCTTTAGCAGTAGATTTTTTTCATCTGATTCCCTATGATGAAATTTATCCATAATCACATTTCCCATATCTCTGGCTCATTATAACAAGAAATCATTGGATGTACTTGGAATGTCACGTGACCTTAATATTGTATTGTGGTATTCCTACAACACGTGCACGTGTTGATCCGTTAACACCCAATAAATTCTTCGATTATATTATCACATTATCATTGGTAGACCATGAAAATGAAAGCAAATATCATGACATTATCACATATATGGTCTAGTTTTTGTTTTAACATTTTTCCCAATAATTTTTTCATTTTCCCTTCTGCTTTGTGAAAAAAATTCTCTCCATCGACACACACATTTATCAACATGACAATTTAAGACCAAGAAATTGGGCGTGGCTCATTGCCTAGTTTTAAGAACAAATAATAGCAATGAAACAATGAATAGAACTAAAAAAAAATATTCAATCAACTTATACAATGAATGATTTAATCACTATATACAAAGGCATTAATATAATTCATAGTAACTTTCATATTCATTATGGAAATAAGATGGCATTATCACCCAAAATTTACTATAAAATGAATCTTGACTGCATTAAAATGATACACTAACTTAGCTACTACTAGCATTAGATGTGGTACTTCCCCTGCTAACCCAATTTTGCCTCAAAGAATTAGGCGAAAGGGTTGGTGGATCACTCTTCAAAAACACAACATCATCTGCTGGTATGTCCATCTCGTCAGCAACCTTCCTATCATAACCCACACTGCTGATTTCCTTCAAAACCTCCAACACTTCTTTCATCGATGGCCTCATATCGCTCTCATTTTGCAAACATTGAAACGCCAGCTCAGCAACCACCTTGATCATCTCTGTCACCTTATAATCCGAGTTAAACCCAAGACACGGGTCAACAAGCTCATGAAGTTCATGATTTTGAATCTTATTAATCGCCATATTAGACAAATTAATTTCATGGCGATGCCGTGTAATGTCCACAGCTGGCTTAGACGATATAAGCTCGATCAAAACAACTCCAAAACTATAAACGTCACTCTTATTAGTAAGTTGGTAGCATTCATGGTACTCGGGGTCCACATAACCCGCAGTACCTTGTGGGGCCGTGGACACATGGGTCACATCAGTTGGGAAAAGACGAGAAAGTCCAAAATCAGCAACTTTAACGCAAAAACTGTTGTCGAGCAAGATGTTGTTAGTTTTGACATCGCGGTGAATGACGTCAGAAGCATGGAGGTAAGCCAACGCGCTAGCAGTTTCGAATGCAATGCTCATTCTTGTAGTCCAAGAGAGGGAACCGGGCTTTGCGCGGTCGCCGTGGAGGTGATCGGCAACAGTGCCATTGGGGATGTATTCATAGACAAGGAGGAGCTCGTGGCAGTGGCGGGAGGTGAAGCCGTAGAGAGAGACGAGGTTTGGGTGGCGGAGGCGGGTGAGGATCTCTATTTCGTTCATGAATTGTTCCACTCTTTTGAAATTGTGTTCGTATAATCGCTTCACTGCAACTACACGCCCGTCTCGAAGTTTGCCTGGTTAAGATTATATGAAAAAAGTGGTTGACCTCAATCAAATGGGGCATGTAAGTATGCTTTTCATTACAACAAACCATAGGAAACAAAGGGAAATTCTATAATATACAACTCAAGAAACTAAATGTGTCATATGCTCCCAGTTATGAGTTTTTGTAATTTTTCATTATGATTCATTGAAATATTGGTTAACGATGCAGCTTGTTTGAAATTGAATCAAATTGACTCAATTTAGAACTTTGTGTACAACTATAACAAAATTGAAACTTAGACAACCCAAGTGACACGATGCATAATTTAGGGATTATAAAAATATTTTATCCTACAAAATATTTCAAAAAAAAGGTAGCTTGTGAGGACTGGACAGTCCAATGTAGGCTTGTGGGCTCTGTAAGGGGACTCAGTTCGATGATTTATTAATAGTCTGCCTATGTAGATTATCCACACAAGTGCGCACGCGCGCACATACACCCAAAAAAAAAAGGATTAGTCTAATAATTTTAAGCATAAGATTTCATCACATTAGTTTTAAAAAATGGGGATGATAAATGTGATTTTGAAAATTATTTATCTATTTTTTAAAAATAAATGTGATAAAATTGTGTAGGAAAAAAAAAACTAAAAATCTTCTTTTTCTTTTTCTTTTTATGAATGATTACATATGAAGGTCTAAAAAAATTTACAGATTAAATCATCAAAGTGAGACTTACAGTAAGTCCACGGGCCTAATTGAACAGTCCAACTCTTTTGAAGACTAAAAATAAGCATTACTCTTTTAAAAAATATATATATACATATATAAAATATGATACTGCAACACTGTATTCATTAAAAAGTGTTGAGTTTGTAAGATAGTTTTGAGTTGATAAATACCTTGGTATACAGTGCCAAATCCTCCATCTCCAACTTCTTTCTTGGAATCAAAATTGTTGGTGGCTTTTTGGAGTTCATTATAGCCGAAAGTTTGGACTCCATAGTACCTTGCTTCCTTTTCAATATCATTCATTGAAGATGTATGAGAAGTGTATCGAGATATCCAAGACGATGTTGCATTATATTTTTTGTTCCTGCGATGATAAATGATGCAAACAATAGCCACCACCACAATAACTCCCACTGCCCCAAGCCCTGCATTGGAAGAAGAAAAAAAGAAAGAAAAAAAGAAAGAAAAAAAGCCAAATGAGAATATGCTCTATCACAAGAAGTTTAGACAATTATTGGCACAAAAATCAATTATAAAATCAAACAGAATTTATCGAAGTGAATATAATTTTTAACAAATTACATTTGTAATAGTACTTGTAATTTACTTTTTCTATCAATTTGGCCATTGCAGTTCTAATTGTATCAATATTACTCTCGAATTTTTTTACGTTATGTTAGTTTAGTCTCTCTTTAGAAATTAGATGGATCAATGGGTAAAATAGTTCATTCACTATCCAGTCCCTTTTTTGAATTCACTTCACCTTCAATTTTTGTCTAATTTTTTAATAGATGTTATTAATTTGTCTAAATTGACAAAATGTCAAAAATTAAAGACAAAATTGATGTAATTGAAACAACATTGACCAAATTAATATAAGAGACAAATTGATAGAATCACATGTATAATTTGCCTTACAATTTTTTTACATGTAAATACTAATTTTTCTAAAATTTTGTTCATTGTTATATATATTTTATAGTTGATTATGTGATCAATTTCTAGAATGTAAAACAATAGAAGAAAATTAATGGGCGGGGCATATTTACCTATACCAAGCGTTGTTCTCCACTTCATATGCCCTGTATATGATCATGAAACATGATAAACCATTAGTACAAATATTATCACAATGCAAACTCTAATAGTGGAATATATGAGAATTCTGATGTAATCTCAACCCTAATTTTCATTTTAATGGTCTACTTGTAAAAATTTACTTATATATATAAAAGAAAGAAACAAAGAGCGAATGGAAACAAAATTATGGATCCAAGTTCTTGTCTCTAGGACTAAATTTGCACCAAGAAAGAAAGAAAGAAATAATTGAAAAATGTTGGATACACAACACGACTCTGCAACCACTCTAAAAACAGGCATGTGGACCATGGATGGATCTAGAGGAATGTCATAAAAAACATAAGTGAATTATTTTTTAAACACCAATTGATTTTAGAAAAGATAGTGAAACATGGTCCGACCAAAAAGAATGATAAAAAGGACTAAGTTTCACTACGCTTACCGTCGTCACAGGTTTTGGAATGTTGTTTATCGGAGCAAAAACAGGTAAATTTGTTATTAATAGAACCACAGTTCCCTCCACTTCTCTTGCAATCACTACAGTAATCTTCACTCCATTGCAAAACAAACCCTCTTCTCAAAACATCAGTGAAATTCATTTCCAACAATTTCTTGATATCTCCAGTCTCCACAGGTGCATTCACCCAAGAATTGCACGAGTCAATCGAATAATTCTCATACTCCAAAACTTCCTTGTGAAAAACAGCAAATGATAAATCGGCAGCATTGCTTGCACAATCAACTCGATAAGTCGGATCTTTAATAGGATACGTTGAACAATTGTAGAAGAAGAAGAGATCGACATAACTAGGACTATAGTTGTATGCAGTTCCCTCAATGCTAAAATTATGCAGAGGAATTGGACATGTATTTTCAAAATCGTAGACCATGGAATTGGCCAAGAGAAACGAATTATTGGTGTAGAATATTTCTTCAATGACATAATCATCATCGGATATCGCAACAACCGGGTTTCCGCCATTGCAAGTGACCTCAAAGTTTGGTTGGCCACAACAAGACTCATGTAAATTAGTAATCCAAAAAGGGTAACTTATATTTGGACCATTCCTGCAATTTCGAGGCATACAGGCCTCGAAATTGGGGTCTACTGATTGAGTTTCATTTGCGAAGACGAAAAATATGATGAAAATGACAAGAATATGGAAAGATTTGTTGAATTTGAGATGCATTTGGAGAAGAAAGAAAGGAGAAAACACAGAAAAACAGGGGAGGAGAGGAGAAAGTTGTGAAAGGAGGAGAGCAGCATTTGTAGAAGAATTAATACTATGTAGTGGTTTGATATGATTTAGTTTTGGGACCTTTGTATATCTTTTGAATTTACCATTGTGTTGTTTTGGGTTTAATGATTGGGAGGTTTGAAAATGTTGGCTTAGTTGCACAAGAAAGACAAACTTTAGTTCAAGCAAGAGTCTTGCTTTTTCTTCAACTACCTCTAAAGTCAGGGATAGAACAGAGTACAATCAATGGGCATTAATTTCAACCATATGTACATGATCTTGGATTAGTTATGTATTTTGAAAAAATAAATATTATGAAAATTGTTTAAAAAATAAAATGTATGGTGAAATTCAATAATGGGGTATGAGTCGCATCCAAAAAAAATAATAAAAAATACGATCCACTTATTTAATTTTCTGAGTAATTTTTGTGTGTGTAATGTTATCAATGTTGTTGTTAACTTGATTTTTGTTAATTGAAGACATAATTTTTAAAAATGACAACTAATCGGCTTTTGACCTCTAGAATGGTAATCTAGATTTTAACAACATGAACAGTGATTGTGTACAAGTCTTTTAAATATTTAACATTGGACAAATTTTGTTTTATTGTATATTCAACAGATGAATGTTAACGTTCTCGAGTTGCTTGAAGATTTAATAATTTGCCAATATTCAAAGTTCAAGTCATTAGAAGATTACTGAAAATGCAATCTATCAAATAGAAAATTTGTTATTTGGCAAGAGTAGAATTAATTAAAAGAAAAAAAATTAGAATACTTAAAATATGTAAAATAAATTTAAATTTAATATTATGTAAACTACACCCGAATGAATCTCACCTGCAAAATTTTTTTGACAGCTTTGGATTCAACTCTTTTAATCCCTAGCATTGTTCTCATTGAAAAGACCAAAATATCAGAATAATTGGAAAATTCAAATAGAATATTTGAAAGCTCTGGTAACTTTAATTGGTTGTTAGTAAGTTTGAAGAAGATTCAAATATTTGAATGATCCATTGTAGTTCATGGAAGTTATAAAAATAAATAAATAAATAAACCAAATATTTTGTGAAGAAATCAAAAAAAAAATCAAGTCATTTTTTTTAGTCTTCTTATTTATGGATTAAGTTTTTCTTAAATTCAAATTTGGACTTGACCGTCAGGTTCATGCTCTTGGGGGCCCATCACAAGTCTCATTTCAATAATTTAAATCATTTATTTTGTAGATTCTCTGTATATATTATACATAAAAATAATTTGATAATTGTAATTTTTTCATTTATAACGTTTATCATAAAAAATTGGATGGTTTATTTTTAAAAATATACCATTTAGTTTTTTTAAACAAACGCCATAAAATAAAAATATTACAATTATCAAGTTGACATAATTTTTTTCATAAATAATATATATGTAGGATCTTATAAAATGAATTATTTTTATTATCGAAACGGGATCCATGGTGAGCCCAACAAATCCAAACATAAACTTAAGCCAATTCTTTTATTTATTTATATTTTGGTCTCTTAATAGAAACATAACTAAGTACACAAATTAAATAAACTGTAATATACTTTTTCCTATAACTTCTTGTACTAGACCAACTCATAAAATGCAATTCGGGATTAAAAAAAATGTGGTCAATATCCCAAAATATATATATATATATATATATTAAAGTCTTAAATATCAGCCTATACATATTAGTCTCTTTAACTTATGATATTGTCATACCAACTAATAATGTCCAAGACAGATTAATATTTAACTGTATCACTAATATCAATATGTATTTTAATATTATTATTCAAAATTATTATATATGAGACAAACTTTGAGGGATTAACCTAGTGAATGCAACTTAGGATTTAGGGATGTGTTCCCTATAAATTTCAGATTTAACTCTTATTAGAAGCAATCCGCTATTTGTTGGCCTGCCCGTGAATTTATCTGATTATCAATATATATATATATATATATGGGATTAACCCATGAGTTCAATATGATTCAATTTTGTCCGGTTTAGTAGTAAATCTATGAACAAACCACTAATTACAGTTTCATGAAATTTAAAATCAAACTAAATTATAAAAATTTTGTAATCAAACTGTCGTTCGACTTGGTTTGGAATTATGATTTTTGAAAATTTGTCATCTCTCACAACATGTTCGATTTGGTTTGACATAACGGTTTTTGAAATTGTGTCATCTTCCTCGACATGATCACAAAATATTGCTCAAAATCTATTAAAATATCAAACAATAAGTCATCATTTTTTAAATAATAATAATTTATATGACTGTTTAGAACTAGTTTTTTCATGGTTCAAAAGCACATTTGTAGGTGTATTGTGTTATCAACTTATGTGTACATATATTTTGATAAAAGCACATTTGTAGGTGTATAGTGTTATCAACTTAATTTTTTTTACTCATTATAAAAAGTCGTAAAAAAAATAGAGAGATAATGTGATCTAAATAAGTCAATGAGCTGCCCCTTTTTTGTTTATCACAGTTGTTAGTTGTTAAATTAGCAACTATATAAATTAACCTCCCCTACTCTTTGCAAAGTATCAAGTGTTTGACCCCTTAATTTAACTTTTCCTAAAAGGAGTTGAACCCATAATTTCCTCCTACGGACTAAGCCCTTAGGAAAGTCATAGTGGTTATCAACTTATGTATATTTATAATATATATAACCCCAAGGTTTTGGCCTAGTGGATGAGGACTAGGAACTGGGGGTTTGCTCCCTACAATGTCCTAGGCTTGACTCCCTTTACTAGCAAAATTCTTAGGGTCACAGACCGTAGAGAATTAACATGTTTCGAAACGCTTGTTCAAACTATAAAGATGTAATCTGATGTTTTCTCACTTTTATTTGAATCCAAAAAAAAAAAAAAATGTCTCTCTTTTATTAATACAGTTATTTTTAAGATTATAAGAAAAATACACACCGCATAGAGAAATGTTGAAGAATGACTAGCAAGCATTATAACTAATGGATGTGGTTGTTGAAATTAACTCTATGTTCTCATGTTTTTTTATTCTAGTATCTGAATGTATTTTTAATTACATAATATAATCAAAATCTCGATTCTTTAGATTTGAGAAATTTTTAGATTTTATCTTGCGCCTAAAAACACATTGAAATAGAAAAATTTAAGAAAAAATAATATGGTGCTTAAAGTGGGAAATGTTAGATAATAGAAAAGTAAGATGAGAGGGCAAAAGAAAAGAAAAGCTCTGGTAGTGGAAGAAAGATTACAAAAAAATCTTTGGGGCCATTTTTACTTTCTTTACTTTTTATTATAATAAAAAAAGAAAAACAATTTGGAGAGAGTTGTAAGATCCCTTTAGTCGGGGATTAGTCGGTAATTTCAAAATACGGTCACGTGGGGTCTTTGTAATAGATTATTATGGTTAAAAAATTAAAAAATTATTAAAAAAAGTTAAAAATTAATAAATTATTAAAAGAGAGTAATATTTACATGATACCATGTGAGTATTATGTAAAATATTTGATAATTTATTTAGAGTTTTTAACATTTTTATTCAAGAAATTTAAAAGTAAAAAAAATTATATAAAAAGTTAAAAATTACAAGAAATTTAAAAGTAAAAAAAATTATATAAAAAGTTAAAAATTACATTTCATCTCTACTTTTTACATATTTTTTTAATAAAACCAAGTCACTCTCAAATATTTTATTTTTTTCATCTCATATTTTAACTAAAAAGTCACTAAAAAAAAAAAGTCATTTTTCCAAACCAATCTTAAAGTCAATCTATATTAATAAGCACTTAGTTATATCAATGCTATATATATTCGAGAAAGAAATATATTATCACAATTTAAAATAGGGCAAATTACTAATAAGTCCTAATAGTTGGACTTAATTCTAATCAAGTCCTATTGAAAATAAGTCTTGGTAAAATTGTCGCTAGAAATATTTTTCTGTGACAATTTTTTATATATGTCGCTAAAAATTGACAATTAGTGAATTTTTTTTGTCATGATATTTATAAATTGCCACTAGAACTTACAATTAGTGGCATTTTTTATGACAAATTATTCTCATAAGACCTATTAGACAATAAGTTTACTTATTAGGACCTACACGTAAGTACCCCTTTAAAATATATAAATTAAATTTATTTTAAACACAACTTACGGTATTTTAAATTTGTATTTTTGGCATAAACTAATCTCCAATTGAGTAAGCCCACATAGCTAATGGGGTGTTTGTTTCAGTTTTTCAGAGCCAACTTATGGCTTTTAGCTTTGAAAAAGTTATTTTGGACTGTTTGGTTAAACTTATTTCAAACAGCTTCTGATTCTAACAGCTTATTTTAACTCCAAAAAGCTGATTTTGAGAAGCTGCTCACCCTTGCTTCTGATTATCAGCTTCTGCTGTGGACATGTTAATTTATGGTTATACTCTTAAATTTTTTTATTTTTTATTTTTTTTAAAATAGAAAAAGACTCAAATGGACTATAGATTATTATTATTTTTTTTTATGAGAAATGTAGACAAACAAAAAATAAAAATTAATTAAAAAAGCTATTTCACAGCTTATTTAACAAACACTACTCAGCAACTTAAATCTATAATCCAACAGTTACACCAAACAGATTAACAACTTTTGATTAAAGTCATAATCTATAATCTGTTAAGTTATAATCTATAAGCTGTTTTAACAGTTACACCAAATGGGGCCAATATAGTTGGAGTAGTTCATTTTATTTTTTTACCTCCAATCTTTAAATGTGCAAATTATTCATCAAAAAAAATAAAATTAATGAGATAATTATAATTAAATAATTTTATCGTATTTATTTTTAAAACAATTATAATAAATATTGTACGAGCGCAGAATAATGTTCTCGTATAATCCTGTTGACCAAGTCTGCACTCCTCCAAACATCGTCGCTTTACTCCTTGAAAACACAAACGTGAGCTAGCCGGCGGATGTGTGCCGGATACCTCTCCGATACCTAAGTCAGTAAAATAGACAAATAGACAAAAGTTT